AGCGTGATAAGAAGAGACTGTCAGGGACGAGCCGTAGCACGTGTTGTAGTGATTTCGCGTCAATTCAAATAGAAAGCACCATTGTACGTCCTACATCGCACATCACGCGCTGCGGCTCGTCCGCTGACTCTGCCTTCTTACCGCGTGACGGGCCTCCTGTCGGATACTCCCCATCCTGACATTCGCCTCAAGCATGATAGAAAATAGATACAACAGGATAAAGCATTCAGTGTTGATCGAATCCCTGTGGCATGCGCCACATATACTACATCTATTCAGAAGTGCAATTGCCTCTTGGATGGCCTATACAATGACTTGGGAAGCCAGCATATGCACAATTCCATGTTTCGTACTCATAGTCTATAGTCTCATAGTTAGATAAGCCTATAAAGTTGACAATCTCGAAGAGGTAGAAGGCTTTTTTGGCTTGAACGACCCAGGATTTGATCCTCGGACAGTGGACACGGTGAGTCTAACCGCTTGCATTACATCACCTCCGTCTTTATGTCATATTTAATAAAGCAAGGAAAAAGAAAGAACGAACTCAACAGCGAGATGTACAGACTTTGTCCACTTGTTTATTAGTTCGCTTCTTACAGAACAAAGGATTCATCACCCTTCTATATGAATAGCTGTGATCATGGAAATGAACATGTAGTAGAGACTATAGCACAGACCGCCTATGGCACAGACTTGGTGGTCTTGAATCGAGCAGACATACAAATATTGGAAAAGTGGTTTATCAGCGTAAAATCGATAATACATCACTATATGTTATCGACATCACTAAGTGTCGATAATATATCAATAAAGTCTAACTTTCATCTGGAGAATTAGCGTGGTACTAGTCTTGTAAATACACGAGTAGTTAAAATGATCTATGAGTTGAACTAGTTTTCTCCGATCCAGTCCAGCTGGTCAAGCGTTTCAATTTCTTTTTTGTCGGTCAAGTACACGACATAGCTTCCCACTTTCAGGTTGATATTCGGAGCTGTGGGAAACGATAACCCGTGAAGGAGGAAGTTAGTGAAAATCGCTCCACATGTCACTCTTTGCTTCCCACTGGCCACGCGCTGAAACACTGGTCAAATGATTACTGTTAATGAAACGGAAGAAGCGGATGCGTTGAACTAACCTCGATGAATGACCTCAAACCGTCGATGGTGATCATGTTCGGAGCACCGATAACGAATTCAGTTGCAGTGAGCTGAGCCAGGATACTGTCGTTGAGTGGCATGGGAGAACCTTGCATGCAGGTTAGAGAAAAACGTCGCCTCGTGACAATGAATTGGAGAACCTCCGGGCTAAAATTCAGCCGAGAGAAATCGCCAACTTCTTCAAAGTCGATTTCTGTAGGATTCACTTGGCGGAGAAAGTGATGGAGCACTAAGGATGTGACGCCTTCGAATGTTGCATATCTTGCCGTCAACGTCTTCACTCGACAGTCGACATCCACCAAATACGACGACAACAACGACAGAATCTCGTCCGACAGAGGCAACTGAATTTGTCACTCGCGAAAATTTTACCGATATAAAAAGATGGATATTCCGATGCGGGGGTTACTGTAGGTGATGCAACACCTACAGTAATCCCCGAATCAGAATATCCATTTTCACTTAGGCCGACGTCATAGTTTGCGAATCGAACTTTGCATCAGCGAATCAAACTCGAATCGAACAGCGTCCGAAGACAGCGTGTGCATGGGCTAACTAGCATTTCAGGTAGGCTAATTTGGATGCTATTATACTTCTCAACGTATGTTCCACGCCTTGAGCACTTTCTAGGAATTCTCACAGCAAGAAATGAAAAATTCACTAATGGGACTACCTACTATGTATACGGGAAAGAGCAACCCATTTCCGGATTGGTGAAATATTACCCAAATAACTATTCTACTCATACCGATGCCATCTCCAGCTGACAGAGGTCGGCGCTTCTGAGTAGTTTTGAAGACCGCTTCAAAGCTGCCCTCAGATCGCTTCCGTGGACCTCTTTGCAATTCTGAAATTGAAGCATACCAATTCATCTTTTCATTGGTTCGCGTTCCTTGTGACGTTCATACCGAGAACAAACCCTCGAGAAGTACTCACTGCTAAAATTCAACTAACCGAGCCCGTGTCCGCTTCTTCTTCGTCACACTTCACATACAAATCCCATGCAAAACGAATTATCTACAAAATGCAACCACTTTCGAATGTTCCTCATCAAAGCACATGATTTAAAATGAGTTAGAGGCATAGAAAATTAGCAATAGGATTAGCACTGGTTTCCCTTTACCCCACCAAAACTGAGAAGGATTTTATCGAAATTTGGCCATGACTGTGGATTTCGCCAGAAAGTTGCCCCGGGTAGTTCGACCCATGAAACACGAATACCACACTCGCTCAGCGAGAAAACGCCTGCGCCACAGGTGCCAGCTTTGGGGACGTGTCAACGGTGGTTTGATCCGTAGAACATGAATATCACATTGGGTTTTCCACGGTGACTGATATGACGGTTCGACCTCAAACCCTGCAGACAACTTTTTAGGCCAAATAACCCACAATCGTGGACAGCCTTCGATCAAACTCTGCTCAGTTTTGCCGGCTTCGGGATAAAAGGGTAATGCCGAAAATATAAATACTTCTGCTTCTATATTAATAGCTCAAAGGAAATCTTACGCCGGAAAAATTCTGCATCTCTTCTTGAGCGACGATGTGTGTCAGTATGTCATCTCACCGAAACGCCTAAGTTCACCCATAAGCATCGGTTCCGAAAAGAAAACAAACGTACAAAAACCACGATGACAATCGAAGATTCGCCCCCCGCGGGAACCGAGCCGCATGGTAAAGACATCGCCTTGAGCCCCCGCCCGACTCGATATCACCGCGCGACGGCATAAGATCGGCCAAACGCGCACCGAATTTGGAGTAGAGAGGAAGACAACAACCGACACGAGAATAGGATGAAGTAGAGGTGTAAGATGTGAATGCAATAAAGAGCAGAAGCCAGAAAGAGGTTCCTAGTGAAAGGCACTCTGAAGAACCAAGTGGAAGCATCCCCGTCGCCAGCATTTGTGAAAGACGTCCATGGGCACTTTGAACACGTAGCAGCCCTTTATTAAGAAAACACCACATATTCTGTTCTTTTCATTCTATCGGGTGATAAGACCTACCCCCAAGCTGATATGCGACAGTACACACTCCCAGATTTTTCCGTGAAGGATCATCTATAATATATAGCAATAGTAATCACGCATTATGGATGTTCGTACTCAACCCAAAAGTAGTTTACGACCGTCTTCACATACGAACTTTTTCTGTCTCCCCGTTTCTCGACACGTCCCCCCGATTAGAAGCGCGCATTTGTCCGGGACACTCGAGAAGAATTTCAAACACTTTCACACACACGCGTACTCCCCCCGCGTATGCATCCCCAGGGAGAAACGTGATCCTTGAACGAAGCGGACATCACACCCGCTTCTAATGACAGTAATCTGCCCACAGCTACATTCATTCGTAACTGAGGTGAATCCACAATTAAAAACAAAGTCGAAGAAGAGTAAACTCACTTAGTAGCCCCCGATAGGCAGATCCTCCTATAAGCAGACCAATAACTCAGCTCGATCGAACAGAATATGTCCCCGCGAATCTGCATGGTCATTCTACGCGCATTGGCCCGGACACGCCCCACCTCATACAAAGAGAGAGGCGTTACATTGATAGAGAGCTAACCGATGCTGAGCCGCATCATGCGAAACACGAGGGCTAGAGAACAGGGTCTTTCTCCGGGTTCGGCTGTTCAAGTGATCAGTAACACCTCTTCATCGCAAATTCCGTCTTTTAGTAAGGAGGCGAACGACAATGACAGCTTGTAGCTCTATTACGCTATCGAAATAGTCAATCAACGTGCTTGATCTTATCTATCAAAGTGGAAAACGAGTCAAAGAGTGGATTTTTGAAAGGACAAAATTAATACCTACACTAGTTAGGTGTGAGAGATCGCGCAGGTTGTGGATCACTTCGTGTAGTTGCACGCTCGGACCATGTTCTGGTATCTTCGGAGTGTATTGGTCCTACGCTTTTCTGAAGAAGAAAGCTTTCTTCTGTTTTTTTGAGTAGCTTCGTAGAAAATCAGAGTGCAAGAAAAGGTCTTCTCTCGGCTTACGGGCCGTTTCTAATGGTTTCTACTTCATCCCTGCTCCACTACCTCTACCCTTTTTTCAAATAAAGCCACGTTTTCAATCGTAAAATCCGCCACTCCTGATTGACTCGTTTCGCTGCTACAAGCGGGCCAAAAATGGCACCCAAAAGCTCACTGGGTAGCGCTATTACGAGATCCATGGAGGATTGACACACTACCTTCATCTCTATTCGCCGAGTAAGCAAACCAGCCCTTTTGGCGTTTCTGCTGGGGCCGTATGCTGAATGTTGGGGAGGGGATGGGGTCCCCGACGGTCGACGGACTACTTCAACTCGGTCCTTAAAACCGCCTCAATTTGGTGCTTACCTCAGAACTAAGCCTTAAAGAGAGGACGGGTCCTCTCTCCAAGGCTTAGTCCTGGGGTGAAGCAAACCAGCCCTTTGGCGGAGCTGCTGGACCAGCTGCACCACTTCGTCATCACTCTCCTACGTACCGACCGAGTTGAAGTAGTCCGTCGACCGTCGGGGACCCCATCCCCTCCCCAACATTCAGCATACGGCCCCAGCAGAAACGCCAAAAGGGCTGGTTTGCTTACCTCCTATCTCGCAATCTGATCGTGAGTAGGCGAGCCTATAAATTCTAAGCGGCAGCCGCCGCACTTGATAGACGCTCGTAGAATAAGCTGCTTCCAGCCTGCTTTACTGGTTTCCAGCCGAGTATTTTGGGAGCAGCTTATCCACGCGACTTCTATCAAGTATGGCGGTTGCCACGCCACGTCCGTAGACCTGCCAAACAGACGGTGAAATCGAACTGTAGATGAAGATCCAACAAGCTATGTTCCAGAATAATCGAGCAAGACTATAAAGACGCGTCCAAGAAATCCAAAACACTCTACATCAAATCAGGTGCATTAGAGAATTTAAACATACATAAAATCGATCCGCTTGGTTTTGGAGCAACGACGTAGCAAAAAACCAAAATTAACGCACACATAACTTGGCATACCAATCTTACAGAGGGAATTAGTGTGAAGCCAGAAAAAACATTAAAACACGAAAACAAAACTCTTCAGCAAAAATTTGAGTAAGAAATTGGACATTCAAAAATTTGGCTATAATGGGTCATATGGAATGAGACAACAGGAGTTATCCCTATGACCTCATAGCAAATTACTCAGTAGAACGAATACCATTTTACATGATTGTCTCAAAGTGCAGTATGTTCTAGTGGCCATGCCTTCTCAAAACAACAAAATTTCGATGAAAATGATTTCATAGCTAGCGACATCGATTGTCTTATGATTCACTTACGCGATTCATGAGGCAGTCGAAGTCGTGGGACGCGCAGCGAGAAGAATGAATCATTGCTCCTTTACAGCGGCCTTGAGGATAAACTGCTAATACTTCAGGCATTTGATGGATCTAATCTATGTGGAAAAGGGGTCACGAATAGCTCGAGTCG